CACCAAAAACAGCAATCTTCATGGCCCAAAAAACGACCAAGCTGTTCCTCGTGGCGTAATCAAGTTCATGCCACATGCCAACCATCTGTTCCCAGTAAACCCCAGCCCAGTCATCAGCACACTCCGGGTGATCTGCGATGTGCCTCTGGAACTCTCTTTGTGACGTGAATATGCGGGCACAACACGCACACATGTCCGGCCTTCCAAATAATGCAAACACGTAACGGGCCATATTGGAAGTATGTCGGACTGGGCGGTTGTCATACGAGTCATCCGTCGCAACTGTCAGGGTGCCTCCACGCTTCACATACAGGGTGTGATCAAAGGAGTTACCGGCAACTATCCATTCACCATGTATAATAAAAAGATGTGCAGGAATACCAAGCACGAGGTAGTCATGCCACGTCCACCAAGACTTCCAGGCTGCAATCTGTCGATCATCATATAGCTTATCCGGCCATACAGTGTTATAACGAGAACACTCGGTCCAATGTCGACGTATGTCAATCCCGATACAGTCATCATGACCAACAATGGTGGTGCCCGATCAAATCCATAGCAACACAAACGCGTCCATTCAGGTCAGCCCTCGCAAGTGTCGGGGTGGCTGCAGCTTGCGCTCGTAATAGCTGTATCCTTCATCCTTTTACCACCACAAGCATTCTCGCTTTCTTTTGTCCTTTGCAATCATGGAGTGTTCTATGCCAAAGCACAAGCCTTGCCAGTATCGAGGCTGTGGCCTAAAGGATACCGCTGCTTTTGCCATCTTATCCACCAGCTCATTGCCATGCATGTTGGCATGCCTGGGAACCAATCGGATGTTAACTTGTTTAAAGCAGTTGATAGGTGGGCACAACCCGTCCCATATACCCGCAGATTCCCCTTCGGGGACATATCACGGATGAGGGATATAGCGCTCGCACAGTCCGTAAACAGGTCAACGCTACCACTATAACACAGTGACACATCGCGCAGGGCACAGAGAATGGCTAGCAGTTCGCACTCAATGATAGATCAACCAACAGGTACAACGTGTGCGCGAGATTCTTCGTACATGCCATCTTCGCAGACTACCCAAGCTATTCCACACCCGAGTGAGGTCTTTGACCCATCGGTATATATGATGAGCATTTCTTTCGTTGACAAGTCCTCAAGGAAGCGGTGGTGTCAGCCAGCAGCGCCCTCCTTAACCACAGTAGGAAAGGTGATACATGGATGCAGCAACCTCTTGTCTGACAGCATACGATATGGAACCATATCCGGGTCAGTGCAGAGATCACGGACTGAGCCAAACCATGGATGGTCAGCACAGTACTTGTAATTGATCATGCGGCTATAGCATCGACGCTGTAGATACTGTTCTTGTAGGACACCTGGCAGTGTACCAAATTCAGCCATCAAAATATTGTTGGCAATCTTAATCGGACAGCGGAAAGGACTCCTTAAACAGTCATTAACATGCACCTAGATTCGCTTCACATACAACCCGAAGTCGGTTACGAATTCAATGTCATAATAAACCATCGGTAGATACGCGAACTTGAAAAGCCAAAACGTCTCCCATGCACCCAACCACCCAACAGAACCAAACCTTCTCTCCAACACCCAAATCCTCCTCCTAACACCCAACCCTCTATTCAACCAATATCCAACATGTGCAGACATCTGTCCAAAGCGGTTGAACCGATAGCCAAGGATCCTTAAGTCTTCCGATGGCTCTATCTCGCTTCCATCCAACTCCAATGCTTGCCAGCTGAAATCGCCAAAGCCCAGCCACTTGGTCTTAATAGGACTGAACCCCTTACCTCTCGACCCTGTCACTCGATTGCGGTGTTCAAACATTTCTACAACGTGTTGTAGGGTAGATTTGACACAGTCTGCCGCAACCTCAATAACACCATCGTTGACATACCTGATTACGATACTCTTAGCGAAGGTGGGTACTGAAGTCTAAGCGTAAAGATATCGGCAACATATAGACCAAATAGAAAGGGCGACAATGGTGAATGCTGCAGTATTCTTCTAGTTGTCTGATATCGCCGGGATATGCGTCTGTTGAACCAGAATTGCACCACACGTCTCTCAGCCCACCTCCTTACCCAAGCACAGAGTATTGCTGGACAGTCCCGTGCCACGAGGAAATCCGACAGCAGATCCAGGACTATGTGGTCAAAGCCCCCTTCCACATTAATGGCAATCAAAGCAGTTTTGAGGTACTTGTTATAGGCAGGGAACTTGTAGACTGCTGAGATCGTATTATGGCATTCCAGTTTACATCTTGATCCGAATTGTGTATCTCCAAGGGCAATGCAGGAAGCGAGCCTGATAAGTACCACATGATCCGTAACCTTGGCTAACATTGGTAGTAGATGGATCATGCTCCATGACTTAACGATATCGTGACGAGATTTGTCGGCCTTAGGGATTAGGCCTACCTGTGCTGAGTACTATTCCTCAATTTGATGGCCTAACCCGTAATCAAGAAGACGTTAGATGGTTACAGGATCCCGCCGGTATCAGAACTGAATGAACCGATAGCCAATATCATCCATTCCTGGTCCGGTGTTGTACGGACCCGGGCGAATTAACATTCCTATATTCACGGCAGGCTCTAGTTCAATAACTGGAGGTATCGTCCATATCGCAACGGGAACAGGGTCATGTTGTGCCGCGATGATATTACTAACAGCCTGGTGATCATAAATACAAATGCCATTATTGACTACCATAGAAGGTATTGTCCTTCGCGTTTCAATAGATTGGGGGAGACAAAATATTTCCGGGTCCTTGGCCTCCCCCAGCTGATCTCTGATGGGGCCATAACGTGCATTCAAAAGAGTACACCTATAGTCGTTCGGGGCTAATTTATAGTCCTATCAGCTGACATCTCAATGTTGTATTCGTCGTAGGTGTTGAACATCTTTCCTCATCCTCTCAAGCTCATCAGATCACCACACACAATGACATCTACCTATGCCACAGCGAGGCAGCCCATCAACTATGTTCCTAACACCCCCCTACAACTCTCCATCACCAGATGACCTACGCTGTTCAAGACCTATAGCAATCTGGTCCCAGTTGGCCCTCTTCTATGCCTGTCTGGGTCGCATGCCCATTGCAGGAATATCAGCTAACTACAGAATTATCTGCCGACAGTGCTCCAATCCGCCAGCATCAACATATTGGAAGTATTTCGGTCGGACCATCCATAACCACAGATCAATCGAGATGACGATGCAGAAGGTATGCTGTTGGGGAAGCGTAATGCTGAGTTGCTGTGGTTGTATATAACTGAACAGCCAGCGCCCATGCTTATTAACCTTCGGGTCACCGGCAGCATTCCAGTATCTGTAATATACATTAAAGTCATCCAGCAAAACATCACATCCGACCATGTCCTCACAAGGCTTCACAAAGCTGGCCTTAACCATAGCTGGCCTCATGTAGACCCCCCCTACACAACACGCCACCCCCTCATGTACCTAGTCCCCCTTCGCGCATGTCATATCATGTCTACCAATTCCAAACAACCCACACAGCGTTGAACAAATATAAACCTCTACACTAGATCCCACAACAAATGAAATCAAATTAATGCCCTCTACCACATGGGTAAGATGACTACCACCATTCCCAACTGAGAGATCAATAACAAAAGATATATCAAAATAAGAAATCAAATCCATAGCTAGCGACTGATTCCCACCACACGTCCCCACATTGATCGCTAAGGCCATAATCCGCATTAAAATGGGGCCTCAGCTGATCCAGACGCATCGGAAACGGGCTTCTTAAAAATGTACACTGGAACGGTGGCATTTTTAGTAGACAGGTGGGAGCCCAAAGTGGAGGAAGAGGGAACAGTCTTACCCTTGGCTGCGGCAGTGGCAGCCTCCTTATCACGGATGATTCGGTCAGACTGAGGGGTTGTGGAATTATGATGTTGGCGGGGGATCATTCTGTTGACTGAGTTACCAGCAACTCCAAATCTTCTGGACGTATCGTCTGCAACCACAGGAGTTGCAGTACCTGAAGCAAGGGAGGAAGGAACAGAGGAGGTGGCAAGAATGTCAGGGCACTGGCTGTCACCAGTGAAGTGGTCGGCTTGCTCACACAGCAAACAAAATCGACGCTTATGTACACATGCCTCACCTACACTACCAGAACAATTAAGTTGCCCACACTAATGGGACTTGGAAAGATGCCTGTTATGGTGAAAATGGCGAGTCGAACACACTCCATGACAGAGGAATCGGAGGAGGGAGAAGGGGAACTTGGGCCCATAGTGGGCAAAGGTTCAGGTGAAGAAGACACTATGTTCTCTCACTCAAATGGTATCGAAAGACTACTCGGCTAAACCTTAGATATGTCGCTTTCTAATACCCTTCAAAGTGAGAGGAAAACAAACTGTCAACGACCCCAGTGAACGAAAAAACGTAAAGTATAGTCCGTCGGGGAAACAAAAAATGTTTGCTGAAGTTGTGAGAATATAAAAGTATCCAATCACAATAGAGGAAAATTCCACATCAGTGGCAGAATGTGAGAAGATGTGATGGGGATGAATCTTTTGCTAGCAGTTGTTCATTTGGTGATATATGGTTTTGCTAGTGAAAGATACCGTAAGACCATATTATGAGACAGTTAGAGAATATGATATAACAGCAAAGGTAGAACGAGGAATTCTATGATCATCATGTATAATGAACTTGTCAAGTTTGGGGTTGGTCTGGAAGGGAGGCAAAGCAAGAATTGTTCTAAGTATTGCCATCGCTGTACCAGGAAGAATTGTTGCTTTTTGGAGGACAACCTGTATAGAGTATAGCATTCCGGAATCATAGCACTATTTTTTTCTTCATCCGGATATCATTTTTTTGAAAAAAAGAAAAAAAAGAAAAGAAAAGTATGCAAAGGCGTGACTAGTTCCATCAACCGAGTGGTTGTACATAGAGGGCGGGAACCATACCCAAGCTTTTGGTGATACCTGGGCCCTGTCTATGCGTCTATGCCTTTGGGTTACCCCTTCCCATTGAGGTGTTATTGGTCGGCAACTCTTTGCTGAAGGGCAAAAGCCCTGGGGCCCCTGGAATATACTTCCTGAGGGGTTCAGGGACGTTGATATACTATCTGTCAAGTTAGAATTCAAACATCACTGTGGGGCTGATTTTAATCGTATACCTCAGGGGTCTGGTAGTTCTCCAATAAGTAACAGAGAGAACGCTCAGTCGTACAGAGGGTAGAGTTAAGGCAGTGAACGTATTCCTTGACTGTGTCCGACTGGGAGTTTGTCCCGTATCTTATCTCCGGGTTACGAGGCTGATAATTCGTTGTGATTGGACTCTTCTATATTCTCACAGCTTCATCAAACATCTTTTGTTTCCCGACAAACTTTACTTTACGTTTTTTCGTTCACTGGGGTCGTTGATGGTGTGTTGTCGTCGCACATTGCAGGGTACTCGAATGGGAGATATCCAAGGTTTAGCCGCGTAGTCCTTCGATACCATTTGAGTGAGGGAGCATGGCGTCTCCTTCGCCTGAACCTATGCCCTCTATGGGCACAAGTTACCCCTCTCCCTCATCTGATTCCTCTGTCATGGAGTGTGTTCGACTCACCCTCTTTGCCAAAAAAGGCACCTTTCCGGGTCGCACAAGTGTGGGCAACTTAATTGTTCTGGTAGTGTAGGTGAGGCTTGTGTGCATCGGCTTCGACTTTGTTTGCTGTGCGGGTATCGCGACCACTTTACTGGCTACAACCAGTGCCCTGCCATCCTTGCCGCCTCCTCTGTTCCTTCCTCCCTCGCCTCAGGTGCTGCAACACCTGTGGTTGCGGACGATATGTCGAGGAGATTTCGAGTTGCTGATAGGTCAGTCAACATAATGATCCACCACCGCTTTGGTAAATCCACTATCCCTCAATCTGACCGAATTATCCGTGATAAGGAGGCTGCTACCACCGCTGCTAAGGGTAAGACTATTCTCTCTTCCTCCTCTTTGGGCTCCGGGCCCTCTAGTAAAAAAGTCACTGTTTCGGTGAGCTTTGGAAGGAGCCCATTTCTTGTAATTCTGGGTGGGCTGGGGCACTGTGTTGGTGCGGGTTACGGCCTTAGCGGTCAATGTGTGGGCTGGTGTTTGGAATCGGTTGCTGGCGATTGATTTGTTTTCCTATGTTGATGTGTTTTTTGTTATTGATCTCCCGGTTGGGAATAGTGGTTGTCATGTTGCCCATGAGATGGCGGGCTTTAATTTGTCTTCGTTTGTTTTGGTATATGGGATGGACTTTTATGTTCGTTCCATGTTGTGTGGGTTGTTTGAAGTTGGTGGATATGATGTGACATGTGCAATGGTGGACTATGTATATGGGGGTGTGCTAGGTCATATGGAGGGGGTCTACCTAAGTCCGGCAATGGCTAAGGCCGACTTTGTAAAGGTGTGTGAGGATATGGTGGTGTGTGATGTATTGGTGAGTGACTTCAATGCACGTCACAGGTACTAGAATGCTGCAAGCAACCGGAAGGTTAATAATCACGCGGGATGGCTGTTCCGTTACTTGCAACAACAGCGACGTGGTGTTACACTTCCCCACTAGCATATATTCCAGAATATTAGCACCCTTAATCTGTGCTTATGGAAGGCCAGACCGATATACAACCAACATGTTGATGCTACCGGGCTAGAACACTCTGGGGAGATATTTCAGTGGGTAGCTGATGTTCCTACCATGGGGATGCGACCGAAACCAGCATGGAAGATAGTCAAGGAAAACCAGGCTGCTACAAGCTTTGAACAGCTTAGGTCACTTGGTGATAAAGAGTTGTGGGGGCATATTAGGAACATAGTTGATGGACTGCCTCGCTGTGGCACAGGTAGAAGTTACCATGTATGGTGGACAAATGAGCTTGAGCGGATGAGGAAGGATGTTGAACCCATGCGACGGATATGACAGGGTGATGTCGGATCGGAAGACTATAGATTAGCCTATAATGTATACAGGTGCGCTCTTGTGAACGCTTGTTACGACCATATCAGAGATTGGCTAGTAGAGGCCAAGTATCGCGAAATATTTGGCCACGCCCATTCTATCAAAACACGATCCACAATACCTCCTATTGTGAACGATAGTTGTATTTGTATTGGTGATTACCAGGCTATCAGTGATCTCATTGCAGCACAACCTGACCCTGTTGCCATCATGCCATGGACAATACCTACGTCTATTGAATTGGAGCCTGCCGTGGATATCAAAATAGCAATTCACTGGAGTCCAGTTAATACAGGATCAGGACTGCATGATATTGGTTATTCGTATATTTGGTTCTGGCACTGCTGAGATCCTGTCACCGTTCAATGTCTTGTTGATTATAGATTATGCCATGACATTGAGGACTGGCACTCGCCAGAGGTAGTCCTGATCCCTAAGGCCGACAAGCCTCGTTCTGACATTGTCAAATCATGGAGAATGATCCACTTACTGCTGATGTTAGCTAAGGTTGCGGAAAGTGTTGTGCTCATGAGACACGCTTCCTACATTAATCCTAGTGATACACAGTTTGGATTCAGACGTAAACTAGGCTGCCACGATGCTATCTCGGTTGTTTATGAGTTCCTTGCCCATAACAAGCACCTCAAAGCTGCTTTGGTTTCAATTGAGGTGGAAGGAGGCTTTGACAATAAAGACTTGAATCTGCTGTCGGATTTCCTCGTGGCACACGGTTGTCCAGCGATAGTCGGTGCTTGGATGAGGAGGTGGGCTGTGAAATGTGTAGTGCAATTCCGGTTCAACAGATGCATATCCCAGGGATATCAGACAACTAAAGGAATACTGCAGGTTTCACCATTATTGCCCTTTTCATTTGGCTTATATGTCGCCGATATATTTACAGCTAGGCTTTGCTATCAATCTTCGCTAAGGAGTATTGTGATTAGCTATATTGATAATGGTGTTATTGCTGTTGCTACAGACTTTGTCCAATCTATCCTACTATATATTGTGGAGATATTTGAGGACTGCAATAGGGTAGCGCATTCTAGGGGAATGGGGTTCAGGTTAATCAAGGCCAAGTGGCTGGGCTTTGGAGATGTCAGCTGGCAGGCATTGAAGTTGGATGGAAGCGAGATAGAGCCATCGGAAGACTTAAGGATCCTTGGCTATCAGTTCAACCGCTTTGGAAACATGTTTGCATATGTTGGATATTGGTTGAATTGAGGGTTGGGTGTCAGGAGGAGGATTTCGGCATTGGGGAGGAGGTTCAGTTCTGTTGGGAGGTTTGGTGCATGGGAGACGTTTCAGCTTTTCCAGTGAGGGTATCTGCTGACAGTTTATTATGGCCTCCAATTCATAGCCGACTTCAGACCGTATGTGAAGCGAATTCAGGTGCATGTTAATGACTGTTCAAGGAGTCTTTTCCGCTGTCCAATTAAGATTGCCAACAATATTTTGATGGCTGAATTTGGTACAGCACCGGTTTCCTTATAGAGGTAGTATCTACAGCATCGATGCTATAGCCGCATGGTCAATTATCGGTACTGTGCTCACCATCCATGGTTTGGCTCGGTCCGTGATGACTGCGCTGACCCAGATATGGTTCCATATCATATGCTGTCAGACAAGAGGTTACTACGCACGTGTATCACCTTTCCCACTATGGTTAAGGAGGGTGCTGCTGGCCGAGACCACCGCTTACTTGAGGACTTGTCAACGAAAGAAATGCTCATCATATATACCAATGGGTCAAAGAGCTCACTCGGGTGTGGAATGGCTTGGGTAGTCTCTGAAGGTGGCATGTACGAAGAGGCTCGTGGACACGCTGTACCATTTGGTTGGTCTATCGTTGAGTGCGAACTGCTAGCCATTGTGTGTGCCCTGCGCAACGTGTCACTGCATTGTAGTGGTACTGTTGACTTGTTTACAGTATGACCGTCATTAGACTAGGGAGATTTCTGCTGAGC